AATTTGTATTCCCTAAAATTGTATTCATATATTTAATACCCACAGCGACATAAATTGCTTATTGGAAATTACATAGCAATTTGTCAAACCAAGGCATATCAAAATTTATCTTCAAAGGCAATGGGCATATAAATTATATTATAAAAGATTATATTAATCTAGAACCGATCCTCCCGCGCTCAGACATCAAAGGTCTCATCTCCAGAATCATCCGAATTTTCAACTAATTTGTTGACATAGCGCACTTCGATAAACAAGATCTCTTTGAAATCCTTGGTAAGCGACACCATTGTGGGATAATCGATGGCCAGATAGCTGTTCGGATAATTGATGATCATATGTGGCACGCTCTTGAATTCTGACATTTTCATAAAGTCCAAAAGGGACCTGCCCCTGATGCTGTGATCCTGGCTATAAACATAAAGTCGACATCCGACATTCGAATAATCAAAGTCGGCTATGGCCAGCCAAAAGACATATATGGTGGCATGCTTCTCGTCGGGTGGATTTAGTGGATCCTTACCGGCTATTGTCGCGTGTGAAAGCTTCCGTTTTGCATGTTCTTCAATATCCTTTTTGGAAACCTGGGCGAACATCAGGAAACAGGGTATATGACCGGCGAAATAGAGAAGTTTCGAGGGCAACTCTTCGTTGAGAACAATCCTGGGTTGTGGCACTAAGCTGCGTGGCATCCTGTCCAGCAAAGCGATCACACAGATGCAGTAGATCTGCATGGGAGGATATGAGTCTGGATAGAAGAGCAAAACCATGCGATCCGTTAGCCAGAGCTCTTCTATGCGGCGACAGTGGTCAGTGAGAAAGTGGGCCATTAGGGTCTGCGAGTTTAGGCCGCTGAGACAACCCTGAATGGCACACCGAAAGTCGAGGGGTCGAACGCGCTCTTTATCGGGATAACGCCTGATACTCGAAGCCATGGGATTAATGGCCAAAGCATCGGGTCGCGGCAGTACTCCTCGACGGTAAAACTCCTTTAATGAGTGCAAATTGGGCGTCCGCATCACCACAGTGTTCTCTAGGCCGGCCCGCTCCTTGGCATAGCTGATGGGCTCATCGAAGAGCTGTTTGACGCGACTCTCGTGTTGCAGGGCCCAATCCATTAGTTTTAAGTAATTGATTCGATCCTTGAACAACCGACGATCTCGCTCCTGCTGATAATGTTCCACCATCGAAACGGCAAAGCGACACCTGAGCAAAAATCTCTCCTTCGACGGTCGTCTTTCGGAGATGGCCCGATGGTAAAGCACCCTAAAGTAGGACGTCACCATCAGGTGGGCCATCTGGCATGTGAAGCGTATTTGACCCTGATCAGGTCTGTTTACGCGATTTATATACCTAATTATGTCATTGTCTAGCTGGGTATTGGTAAAGGACTTCAGCTCTTCGGCGGGTAGTTTCTCTAAAAGATAGTGAGCCGGAAAGAAGCCCTCGTTGACGAACCAATGGAGGAACAGACCATCGTAAAGCAAACGCTTCCTGTAAAAGTGCACCAAATAGTTACAAATCCTCTTCTGGCCCTCGATCTGGCCGTTCTTAAAACGCATCCTGGACACCCAATGGAGAATCTGGAGGGTAACGCTATCCAGCTCAAAATAACTCCTGAAATCGCCTTTCAAAGGTATGTATTTCACATTCGGGACTTCCAAATCGTCTGCAGGAGTTCTTTTCACCTGCTCTCGGCGTTTACTTAACATTGTTTTTGGTAAACCTTTTGGTACTCTACAACGCAGGCCAAATTTCTTTTTCCCACACAATTCCGTGCCTTTTCTTACATATAATACTTTCAGTTGAGGTTTTTCGGACACACCCATGCAGGAATTAAAAGTTTTCGCCGGTTGTTGGGCATCGTAATATTGGGTGCAAATGGAAGGAGCTTTCGGCGATGCAGGCAAACTGGAGGTGACGAGGGAACTGAGATTAGTACTTGATGGAGTCTCGCCCATTGGATTACTTAACCCTGATGTGCTGGTATGATAGGTCCTGGCACTTTCAAAATCGATTTGCTGTTCTATTTCCAAACTTTTATTTTGGGCATCTTGGAGCTGTAAACTGGATTTATTAAGGCTTTCTCTTCGCTCGAGAGTGGGTAAGTAGAATGCCTTTACCGGATCCTTGGGAAGTACCAGATGGTGCAATTTTTCCTGACTCCTCAGGCGTTTGCTATCCATTAGAAGGTTCTTCAATCTCTGACCCCGGTCTATTGCCTCGATGGGTTTGTTGATCAACGAGCAGCTTGAAACTGTGTTTTTTGGACTTTCCTCAGCTGTCTTGGGTACCACAGTATTTGGGATGCAACGCGGTATTACGATCTTTCGGTGTCGAACATTCAAGATTTTTCGCATTAGGAAAGGTTGTTGCTCTTCCGAAATCTTAGTAAAACTATTTTGAATGGGTGAACAATGATGTGTTTGCTCGATTTGCTCGGCCCTTAGGCATCTCCTATGACTTTTGAAGGCCTCATCGAACTTTGGGTGGACCTTTATTCTCACAATTGGTACATAGGAGTACTTCCTTTGAAGCTCCTCTCTGATCTTGTTCTTATTGTTCAGATCTATTAATGGTTCCTGTACATTCCCTTCCTTCTTTTGTTTCTTTCCTTTTTTGGTTTTCTTATTATATCTTTCAAAATTAATGACTTTCTTTTTATATTTCGTCAATGCTGGAGATCCTATTATCAGTGGAAAAAAAATCCTAAGACTTTGGGGAGGGACAAACGAAGCAAACTCACCTAAGCGTCTGATTTCAGTCAATGTTGTTTCCTCCTTTCTTGGGACCTCATAAACAGGATTTACAAGAATCGGGCTATTGACGATTGAAGATGCCTTTTCGTCTGAAGATTCTCTGGCTAGACCCTGATCTTTAGCTTTTGCTGTATTAAATAAAGTTGATTAATCACTCGTATTTACTCCAGAATTCATAAAAATGCGAATGGAACAAATGCCTAAAAAGTCATAAGCCATATAAAGTTTGAGTTATTATAAAATAAGTAATTGAAGTTGAGTTATTATTAAAAGCTCTGGCAAATTCTGAGTCACAAACAAATAAAAAAAAATTGCTGGACAATCCTAATGCTTAATTTTTGCCATACAAAAATAAATATAGATATATGTATATGTATATATATTTTGGAAATTTTACTCACTTACCGGGTGGGTTCGAGTCCTTGTAGAGCACAAAATCGCAGTTTGTGTTAAAGAAGTCATCTTTGTAGGAGTTTGGTGAGATCTGGATTATATTTTTGACCCGCGTGGTGTTGTCCTTGATTGTCAGCCGTTTTGGATCTTTGTCCGCAAATTCTGAGAATCCGTCTATAAGTTCATGAAAACACTAAAAAATATAAATATATTAATTTGTATTTAAACCGATTACCTTTCTTTGGGGTCTCTTTCATTTTGACAGTATAATCTGTGAGTTTTTCCCAACCCCTTTCGATTCCAGGTCCGCCAATGGAATAATCACGGACCGTGTTGGCTCGAAATCTGTCAATTTGCTCCTTTCCGAACTCGCAGTCAATATCGAGTTCTGGCTTCAAACTCATCTCCAGCAATGGATAATATGATTGGTTACTTACAGGAACGAGCAATCCAATTTTTTGGAATTATAGAGCTCAGATTTTATTCGTACTGCTCACTAACTGGACTGGTTGTACTGTTTTGGATCCTTAATACGAGGACTGACAGTAACTGTGTATTTTTCATGGCGCACCTGATATGTTAAGGCACATCAGCATAAATCTCACTCAATTATTTTTGTTCGTGTATATATATATATATATATATATATATATATATATATGCATTATATTAGTTTTTATTGTGCAATTTATTGAACAAGTTAATAATGACTTACAAAGATATCAGAACTCTGTAGTTGTTAAAATTGAGAGCTCACTATTTTGCTGTTATTTAAGATTAACACATATTAACGGTAATTATAAGTACTATTTTAGTGAAGCTGGGAAGATAAATAGCATTATAAGTATCCTTCAATGAAATAATTGTTTAAGATGTAAAATAATATTAATTTTTCATTTAAGTAATAAAGATTTTTATTTCTTTAATGTATATTAAAGTATGTATTTTAGTTTACAATTTTTTTATTTATTGGTTTAAGAATGAAATTTAAAAAACTTATGATTTTTTGAGACAGTTTGTGTTTGCATTATTAAAATGGCGTAAAAAGCGGACACATTGCAAGTTTGCGCCAGCTAACACTATGTGTACAAACTAATGATTTCGAAACAATTATAATGCACTACATCATATTGCAGTTAAAGTTATAGATATAATTGAAACTCCAGGTCCAATAAACGTTTCGAACAACTTAAGAAGTATGAATTTGCGTGGGCATCTAATGAGCAAATGCAGAACAAAAGGCGGGGAACTAGCAATCAGATTAACTTTGAAGTTCAAGAGCAATATCAAATCACGCCCTCTTCTTGCGCAATATGGGAAGATAATAAAGTGTCGGGTCCGAAAACCTTTACACTTTCGTTTGACTTTGGGTTAGCTCCGATCGATCGGGGTTAATCATATGTAGGCGCGCGACCAAGGTGTGAACAACTTGATAGAAACGGCCAATTAACAGACAAAACGCTTCTTTTCTGACGTCTTTGACTCATTGTCGATTCGAATCGTAAAGCCAAACAACCAACAACAAAGAATCTGTTCTTTTTTGCATATGTCTGCTGTATTCATATGCGAGTTTACATATTAATACATCAGAGGCGGTCCACTTTCTGAATGGACATAAATTTACATAAGTTAAGAGAGAACATCGACAGAAATCATCATCTCGACCAGGTTTGCATATTTTCCGAGAGATTTGGCGAGCAGATTTCTCAATGGTCATGATATAACGGTTCTGGTGAATCTAGATTAATGAAAGTGATTTAAACAAAGTGTGCATACGAGATTAACAGTTCATAATGCGGTATAAAAATGATCCATCCGTTGGCGAAAGGCAGCAGATGCCATTTTGCCATGAGGCTGTTCGCAGTGATTTTCTGGCTAGGTAAGGGATTTCCCCCGATGGATATGGTTTTAGTCGGATTAACTTGATTTCTCATTGGTCTGTATTTTCATTCCAGGCTGGGCTATTGGCCTGGCGGGAGCCAAGAGCCCGAGTCCCGAGACGGGCAGACTGATAGCCTCCCTCCAAGCAGCTCCGGCTCCGGCGCCAGCACAAAGTGTGATCTACAAGCTGCCACCGCAGCACTATTACCCGCCACCTCCGCCTCCTATACAGCACTTACCGCAGCACTGCAATTGTCCACCGGGACCACCAGGACCTCCGGGACCTCCTGGCTTGCCAGGAGTTCCGGGCCAACAGGGTCCCAAGGGGCCCAGCGGAGCTAAGGGTGAACGAGGCGAGAAGGGAGAGCGTGGTCATTACGGTTTACCGGGATCTCCGGGACAACCGGGACCCATGGGACCACCAGGAATGCCCGGACCACCTGGTCACAAATCGAGAAATGATCACCACGATCACGATCATGGTCATGATCATCATCACCATCACCACCACCCACACCCACACCCACCTCCGCCTCCTCCTCCACCGCCGCCGCCGCCGCCTCCACCGCATCATCACCACCACCCGCACCCACCCGTTATTCCACCTCCAATTATAGTTCCCATTCCAATCCCAGCCCCTTCGAAGGGTGGTGGTGGTCACCATCATCATCACAAAGGATCCGATGGCCCTCCCGGACCACCAGGTCCACCAGGTAAGTGAATTTTAAAGCCCAGAATTATTTTTTGAACTATGGATATTTAAAGTGTCAATAGTCATGTACACCCCGATAAAAAAGGATCAACATTTGTTACGATAATAAATTAGTTGATTTTAATCGATTAAAGCCCAAAGTGCATTCGTAAAAAACCGCTCTTTAAAACAAGAAGATTCAAATAGGCCTTTTTAGAACGTGATTAAGATATTAAAGCTCCGAGTTCTTAGTTTCATTGTTTATTTGTTTTTAACATCGATTTTAGGAACGGGACCTCCTGGACCACCAGGACCACCAGGCATCACGTATCCCCCTCCTCCTCCCCCACCTCCATACCCACCGTATCCGTACCCACCAGGACCCTATCCAGGACCAGGTGGACAAATCCCCTGGATTCCCGTGCCAGTGCCAGTACCTTGGCCTTCCAAGGGACACAAGGGAGACAAGGGGCACAAAGGCGGACACAAGGGAGACAAGGGCGGACACCACCATCACTACTATCCACCAGGACACAACAAGGGCGGTCATTATCCGTATCCACCCCATAATGGTGGACATGGCGGACATGGTGGACATGGCGGACATGGTGGACATGACGGACATGGAGGTCACAATCATCCAGGCCACAATCATCCAGGCCATAGTCATCCAGGCCACAATCATCCAGGCCACAATCATCCAGGCCACAATCATCCAGGCCCTTATCCGCCACCTTACCCGCCGCATGGTGGAGACAAGGGTCATCATCACCATCACCATCCCTCCCACAATCACGGAGGTGGAAATGACGGGCACAACCACCATCATCCATCTCACAATAACGGAGGGCATGGGCATCATCATCATCCCTCGCACAACCACGGAGGTGGAAATGACGGGCACAACCATCATCATCCCTCTCACAATAATGGGGGGCATAACCATAATCATCCCTCCCACAATCACGGAGGTGGACATAACGGCCACAACCATCATCACCCCTCTCACAATAGCCCTCCCTCCCATCACAATGGAAACGGAGGACACAGCCATCCCCCGCCGAATCCCAATGAGCCGGGTGGCAGTGGTGAACAAAGCCCCCGCGATGATCTAGACTTGCTGGATGAAGATGTAGAGATCGTCGAGAACATAATCGATGATAATGACTTTATGGAGGGCGCGGAAGAAACACCGTCCGAAAATTCAGATTCCGAGACTGAACCCGAGGATGCGGGCTATGTTGGCTATGTAGACAATACAGTGGAAGTTATGGAAACTCCTGTTTACGCTGAAGAAGCAAATGAGGAGGAGCCAAATTTGAGTGCTGAAAACATTGTAGAACCAGACGAAGAACCAGAAGAAGCCGTTGAAGCCGTAGAAGACGAACCTGTAATGGAGGATCAGATGGACATGGAAATTGTAATGGAGGATAACCAGTCTTTCGATGGTGATGCAATCGAGGAGCGAACCAACAAAGGTCCAATTATCCTGGCCATTGGAACTCCCAGAAATCCATTTCACATTTATGCCTATGAACAGTATACCACATAAACAAACCAATGATTCACGAAAATAAAAAAAATTAAACATGTAACACTTGCAGTGCTTTTTCTTTCAATATTTTTAGGTTGCATTTAAGAGGAACCAAAATTGTGTGTTTTTTTCTATGAACACGTAGCCCTTTTATTTTTGCTTTATATAAAAACGTTCTAGTGGGATATTATACAAAATTATAAGAATTTAACACCTTGCGTAAACTAAATCATAATATTTGATATGCAAAACTTTTTTGAGTTTATTCTATTAATGAGATCATCTTCACGAATTTGTTTGCCATAAAAATTGTAATAAATTCGCAATAAACTATCTTTTTGTTAACTGCCGAAATTGTTCCGTTGTTCCAAGAAATTGGTTCGGCTTTGTGTGCTTTTCTACAGATTAACAATGGACAAAGACATATGAAAAGTGAAATCACAAAGAAATAAAACAATTAAATCAATGGCAAAGAAATGGCTCTGCCAATACAAGTAAAAGTGTTCAAAGACATATTGTAAATCTGAAATACATATATAAGGCATTACGGTAAACCCGTTTTCATATCTCGGGTAAAAGTACTTAAGTTTCAAAATTACAAAGCTATCAAAATTTTTCTAGTTTTAAAGATATAATTAGATAGATTTAAATATAGATATAAAAAATAGGTTAGACCAGATTATTAGGGGATAAATAACAAGAATTTTTAAGTCCATATTGTTTGAGACAGCTTTACGATTCCGTGCATCTAATTGATCCACTATTGTTATTACCTTCAAGAATTTGGCATGTGTCATTTCGAATTTCGCTACTTAAAATCAATTTGTATGAGCACCATAAAAAAACAAACGTTTGTATCTATAAAAGCAAATAAGGCAGATCGTTCCATTTTTGCGATATCTCTTTTTTATTGCTCCATAATAAATAAAACAATGGGTGCAGAAGTGGAACAAAGCCCGGGTAGAAAACAAAAGTGAATTAACCTTTTCTTTTGGTAATAAATATATAATTTTACAACTAAACAAAAATAAAAAAGGACCACAATTGCACCACTAAATTTTTAATTTAAAATAAGACCATTTTAAAATGAAAATAATTTTTGATCTAACATCAACGAATATCTAGCCTGTGAAATTGGACCACACTGGAGTTAAATTTATGCTAAATTATTTGGCTAACTTAGATCTGAGATCAGCGATTTGAATTTTACGTGTTTCCAATTAACCCATTATAGTCTCACCCATCTTAGCAGTTTGAGGAGTCTATATAAGACGAGTTCTTAGACGAACAGGTGTTCACTTTCGAATGTAGAATCTCAACATGAGGCTGCTCGCTGTTCTTCTGTTATCAGGTGAGCCTTGCGAATAACTAAGTTTAGAAAAATTACCACCTCTAATTTTACTTGTATTGTATTTCTAAGCCTTTTCAACATTCTGCGAGGGATCGTGGTCTTTTGGCTCAGTTCAGCCTGTTAGAACAGAGTCTCGTCCAAAAGCGAAGAAGCCACAGTATAAAAACTATGACTTGTACTATTACAATCCTGAAACGCTAGGTTCTTCCTTTTACTTTGGATCACAGACTCATTGTCAGTGTCGTCCAGGACCTCCGGGTCCTCCGGGTCCACCAGGAGTTGCTGGCCTTTCAGGTGAAGAAGGAGCACCGGGTGAAAAGGGCGAACGCGGTGATCGTGGAGAAAGTGGTGATCGCGGAAGAAGTGGCAGACCGGGGTATCCTGGATTTCCGGGGCCCATTGGCCCACCAGGTCCCCCAGGTTTGCCTGGAAAACCAGGGGTACACCACCAGACAAAACGTCCAACAATCGTTTATTTACCGGCAGAGGACAAGCCGCCCAAAAAAGAAACCACAAAGGGCAGTTCAAGCAATGAAAACCCACCATCAAAACCCGATAACAGAAAGTCTATTAAAATAGTAAGCAAACCTAAGGCACCGCAGCCTTTGAGAGCAAACTCCAGTGAAATGAAGGTTCTGAAAATTAGTTCGCAACTAACCCAAAACCATAAAAACCTAAATCGCAAAAGACCAACTGCTTCCCCTATTTCCAATCGCAAGCGAATCAATCAGAGCAACAAGATAAACACACCAAATAAGAACAGAAAAACAGTGTCCATTTCCAAAGAACATAAAACAAATGTGTCAGTTGATCAACAGATTAGTAAACGAAAGGTAATTAAAAATACAAGTACAACAGTGAAAAATAACTCGAGCACTTTTAGCCGACGGCCATTAACTACAAAAAACAAGGGAACAGTGATTATCGAAAAACCCAGTTTAGCAAATGCAAATACAAGCATGAATTTGAATATCAGTCAAGTCGGATCGCACCAAAGGAAAAACGTAACCAATAATGGTGTACAAATAAGTCAAATTAATTACCCAATAAATCAAACAATACTACTTGGTGACAATAAAACAATAAGCAAAGAACCCGTTGTCGTTGATAAAATATCTGTACCGAATTCAATCGATAAAGATGTAACTACGATGAAAGCAGAGATAATTCAAACAAATTTGGAGAAAGATACTACTACTGCAGGTGGAGATTTGTTAGCTAAAAATACAACTTATCCTAATATGAACAAAATAAAAGAAGAAAGTCAAGATCCTAACTTATTAACTACAATTACCGAAGAGACACCTGTCGATATTGATACTACAACTGTTGAAACAAAAACCGCAAAGATTGAGAAAACAGAGGAATTCGAAACGACGGAAAAATCCATTCAGGAGTTGGAAAAAATCTCTACAGAAATTCCAGAAGAAGGAACCACAAATGGTACATTAAAGGATGAGGAGATGACACCCTTATCAACCACCGATATTCCGGTGACCACTTCAACAGAGTTAGCTGAATCGTCGGAATATACAACACTTTCACCAAACGAAATACCAACAAGCAGAAATGATTTTGAGAACTCAGAAGCAGATTCAACGACCGATGTACCAGTAACTATCAACCCAGAAACGACAGAAACACCAACAACAGTGGAAGATCAACCAGATCGGATGATATCTTCCACTTCCAAAGAAACCGATTTCGGTATCCCGGTATCTATACTAATTGATACTATATCTGGGGTGATGGAAACTACACAAGAAACGTAAATTGGGTGTGAGTTAATGAGTCTGATAGAATTATGTTTAATAAAAAAAATATAAAACAACAAAATTGGATTTTAATATTAAAATGTATTTTTATATATACTTATCAAGAACGTTTAAATTTATCTTAAACAATTCTTTTTGTTTTTATTAAGTAATTGCATTTTCGTATATATCAAGGGATGTATATTAGAAATAGAATTCATAGGTTGCCATACTTATTTTTAAACAAAGTCCAAAAACACTTTATTTCGTTGTGATATTGTTTAAAATAGTCGATGAAAAATAAAATGAAAATGTTGAAAATAAAAGTGTTTGCATCTAAAATACAAATTGGGCTGACCAATTTGGTTTAGATACAGGTATTATACTCTAGTGTACAAGTTCAGGTCTGAGATCCTGCCATTTGCTAAGATCAATTTGCCGGATAAAATTGCAGTTGAGTAGTAAATTACTAAAAATAGAGCAGTGTTTCAATAACATATGTTAAGAAAAAAAAATATTTTTGAACTTACTGTGAGTTTGGGAACACAAAAACGTTTGGCTGGATTAGATGCAGGTAGTTGGCGTTGTTGCAGAACAAGCTGGCCAGACTCACTTTACGGATCTCCGCCAGTTGAGCTGCGGAAATAAGATTTGCAAATGGTTCTGCCATATTAGGATTCTTTACTTACCACGTGAAAACCCTACAGCATTCTCCCGCTCGAAGAAGAATCTATCGCCGCGTCGCGTGTTCAGGAATTGTTTTCCAACCACACACAATAGAGTTGGTCCGAATAGAGCCTCTGGGACGTGGTACTCCAGGGAGCCACCCACACTCAGCTCCACATCATCCGGAGTGGCATATAGGCGACGCAATAGTGATATTTTCTGGAGAAACACACATTACAATGAGTTGAACTACAATAACCAACTTGATCGGCTACCTCTCCCGGAATCTCGTGAGCGAAATCCGCCCAATCCACAGCTCGTCGCAGTCCGCAAAACTCTCGCACATCATTGTAGGAGGCCAGTCCGAAGTCTCGAGCCCTCTGAATATCTATAGACTTCAGATCCGATCCGTACTCCTCGAACTCCTTGCGGTGGAAATAGTGTTTGATCTCCCGATCGATATTCCCATCCGATCGCTTTTGGCACTGAGTGGCCAAACCCCTCAACATGGCATCGTAGTTGTCGGCTGTATTCAGCAAGCGGATGGTCTCCGATCGATCGAGGTAATCGCTGAGGCGCATAGTCTGGTTGGAGTTGCGATTTGGGGCCACCAACCTGTGAAAACAATGAACTATAGTGTATCTCAGCCTAAGTTGTGTCAAGAAAAACTTACGAGAACCAGCCGGGGATCTGGGTGTGGGCATATCGGAAGGCTGCAGCCGAAAACTCCGCATAGGCAGCGGGATTAACCGTCTCATCGTAGTCGTTCACGTACTCAGTTGGCTCGACCGGATAAATGAGACCGTTCAGATAGCTGTAGGTGCGACCCACGACCAGGGGCAGCCAGTCGTAGTAGGTGATTTTCTGAAACTGGGCAATGTTAATCTTGCGCGCCTCCTGGAAGATGCGCTCGTCGTCGTGATGAGGGTTAATCAGCGCCAGGTTCTCGGCCAGGCGATTGTGCTCCCGGACCAGCAGAGTCTGCAGCAGGGTAATGGTGGGCGAGAATTGATTCCTAATGTCCGGCACGCTGTAGCACTCGCTCTTGATCCCGCAATCGCCGTTCTCATTTTGGCTCACCGGCAACCAGTGCTGGCCATTCGTGTAGCTTGTCTTCAGGAGACCGCCTTTGAGCAGGCGAACTTTCCTGTTCTGCGAGGGGTTGTTTCCATAGACCGACGACAGGTCCAGGTAGGCAGTGGCCACCGTCAACTTCTCGGGATAGGGTGCTTCACTCTTGGGGCAAATGGCATCCGCTTCAGACACACTGCGGGCAAAGTGTAGGCAGGTTTGGCCCGTATGATAGGCGATGGGTCCTCCACGCGGTAGGTTGATGACCTGACAGCGCGGATGACGTGGCTCGGCACAGCAATCCCGCGGAGCTCCCTGCAAGCTCAACTGGCTGATGTCGTGGGCCACAAACTGTCCCCATTGCATGGACGCCATGGTGCGGAATCTATCGTTTATTGTCTCCTCGCCGTACAGGGACAAGGAGATCAACCGGGCATTCGGAGCCTGCTCCACTTGCCGTGGAGGTAGAAGTCTTCCATATCGGGAAACGGAAATTCCGTAGTCAGGATACAACAGGTTATTGCAGGAACCATCGATACTCCGATATTGCAGATTCCGCGTATCATTTAAGCAGTCTCGAGGTGGAATACCACATTTTAAAGCCTGATGCGGACCAAAACGCGGGGGCTCAGCCCAAGTGGTGTGCACATTGTTGGCACTGTACTTGGGCATAAAGTCCTTGATCAGAGCATCCAAGCTTCCATCACTGACACTTGGTCGAATCTCAAAAGCACTCCGTTTGGACCTGGCCAAGGGTTCGATTGCCGCATACGGACACTTAATGGCCACCGTCACAGCCAGCACACTCAAAACCACCAGAAACACTCTCATAGCACCGACGACACCACAGAACTCAATGCAGCACCAGCGACTGGGCGCCCATATATAGAACTCCGCCAGTTGCTGGCCCGCACGATCTCCATGCTCCGGAGACGTGATAATGACTCGCGAAATTCTCGGTATGATTGCCCAGATTGAAGAACGTGCAGAAATATGTGAGCATAATTTCCAATATTCGGAAGTCTCAAACTGTGGCCGAATTTTCAAAAACAAATAAAGCCGACCGGAACGTGTTTACGGATCGAGAAAAAGTACAATGGTCGAGTTCTTATTAAATGAACTTATCGTGCAGCTAATATAAAAAGATAAAGTATTGGTAGTTTTATTTTTGCCAGCGGCATGAACAATGAAAACAGATAAAGCCTAATCATTATGTGGTGCATTAAGCAAGGTGTTATGACTCATATTTCTTAATATATGTTTGTTAAGTACATCAAACAAAATAGTTTTAGAAATATGTAACGTTGATTCATCTTAAACGAAAACTAAATCAAATAGTCAGTTTGCCTTTTTCTAAACCTAAACCTAAATTAACTGGAATGCGTTTTTAATAATATTATAATAACAAAAACATAATATTTTTCGGTTGTTTTGGCAAGTGAGAATTAACAGGATAATCAAATATTCCATTTGCAGTACAAGTTACCTTAATTTTTGGAGTCTACCAAAAAGTTTCTTAAACCTGGTGGCATTAGAATATAAGAGTTAAGTATTGTCTTCCATTTGTAATGGTAGGTACTATATTCCATGTATAATGAATAAGCCTCTTCGTTATCAATTAAAGCTTCGGTATGAAGCTGCAGTCTTCTTAAAATCAGTGAACAGCTTCCAAGCAACATTTTGGGATAGTTCCCACTTAAATCCGAGCAATCAATCCTGCAAAAGATGGAAAGTAATTAACAAGCTTGTTTGATTAATGCATAATGCATTTTTAACTCACATGATGTCAATATATTGTTCCATAATACGCTTGATTACACAAAAGGCTTGACGATAAATGTCGACATCTTTTAAATAGATATCATCCAATTCAATCAACTCAACCACGTGCATAATATTATCGCTTGCATGTTGCAAAAAACCTTAATTAAAAAAGATACAAAACTAGTCCCAATCAAAAGACATCAATTTTCAAAAAAATTAATACAAACCATTTATGGCCAAAAACATAGAAAATTTAAGTACTCCTATCAAACGTATCTCATCCTTTTCTGGGCAATGCAAGTCAAGAAAGCTATTGTAGGTGCCGTATAAAATGGTCAACTTAGCTTGTAGCTTTTCATCTGAAATGAATACATACTTAGTGAACTTTATAATCAAGTAATATCAGTAATATCATTCAAACCTTGAGTAGACTGTTTCCAAGTTGATAGTCTGTTGTTAATTGTGAATATGAATGCTTTATTATGTCGTAAAAACTCAGGAGAAGGGCCAAGGCTGTTTTCAAACTAAAAAGCATAATAAAATAAAAATATTAACTATACGGTCTCAAAATACAACCAAACACTTACACTTGATTTCCCATGATAAGAATTTGAAAGAAAATTAAAATCTCGACATTGTACTAAATTCAACATTAAGTTCGGATCATGATGCCTGACAATCTCAGAGCATATCACTAACTCTTCGCCGTCAACGATATTTTTAGCAGTAACTCCAACACACTTTCCTCTCGGTAGCGATCTGAAAATATAATATTATCTTTAGAAAAAATAAACAGATTAAAAAGGCACAAACTCACATGACTTTAACATTTTCTGTCGCACAGTCCTGTTTGAAAGCTTTTAAAGTGGCACGAAGTGTACATTTAAGTTGAAAGGTATTTGCAACTTTATTAAAATATTGATGAACAAATAGGTGAAAATATGTTGCAATACTTGTCATTAATTGACAACGTTTTGAAGTGTTAAAGATATCGAGAATTTCGACGACTTGTTGTGTCGGTAAGATTTCCGCACTTATGAGATCTTCAATAGTTTCGATTTCATATTTTTGAATGCATATGGAATGAAGCCTATCAGCAAACAAAAACATGGGACTATCATTAGAAGACTTCTCTTGCAACTCATTTTCGACCTCAGGTAGACTGTCGTGTAGGTTGTGATAACAGTCTATGAAATCTGATATCGCATTTATTCCGTAGTAGCTAAAGGCATTTGCGGTTATGCGGTCAGTTGGCATCGGTAGTGCATCACATTTTGAGAATTCTTCATGAGTTTCATTCATGACTTCTCCGGGTTTCGGATAGTACAGCTCATCTCGTTGAGATTTTAACAGAACGTGGCCAGCGAGCCGTAAAAGAATCGCGGCCATCACATTAATTATGTCTATTTTCTGTAGAGCCAGCAAATAAAAGTATTTATCTGTAAGGTCTGTGTCATTGTAAATAAAAACCGACAGACGGAATGCGGTAGTTACAACTTCGAGATACTTCTCCTTCGTGAGCTGTTTGTAATCAGGCGGTGTGGCAAGAAATTCCCCAACAATGTTGTATTTTTTATCCTCTTCCTGAGCGTGCTCCTGTATAAAGATCCAAGCGTCACGGGAATCATTTATTACTCTGTTTTCGGGGTAATACAACTGTGATTATAAGTACTCCGATAATTGGCACTTTACATACCCGCCCTCCATCGCAAAATCGACTAAAGCCGGAAGTATATATTCGCCTGATTGAAGAAACAATCGAAACAGTATCGAAGCCTCTAGCATAGGTATTAGGCCAATTCTGTATCCATAACACTCAAGTTGATGCACTTCTGAATCAGTTTCCATGCACAGCTTTGAGCAATAGGTTTTATAACGACACTTATCACAGGTGTAGAGCAGTTCCCGATGCAATCCACACATATCGCAATTTATAAATGGAGCACTGAATTGGAAGTAAATTGGATTTTCCACCACAACAATTTCTCCTTTGGGAATGTCGATCGAAGCGAAAACTCCGGCACATTTTTCTTTTTCGCTATGACAGAAGATGTACTACAAATTCAACAAGGCAAACATTCTTTACTTACAAGTATTCACAAGCTTTGCTGGCAAATGGTATTTTCCTTGTAAGCTTATGTCCCTCAAAAGGCACTATGGTCTTGCTTTGAACTTTCTGGCTAAACTCAACATTCCTCCTAGCTTGGTTGATTTTCTCATCATATTGTTGTAATAGAGACAGGAACATGGCGATTTCTATAAGATTGGATTAATTGCATTTTAGGCCTCTTACTTTGACTGTATAAATTATTGGGAGTGTAGGACTAACAACCGCAACAAATTTACTTTTACTCACCACTTTTATCAGATAAGGGCGTTTTCCCTAAAAAAAAATAAAAAACAAAATACATAAATTACTACGTTTTTAGCAAAACAAAATAATATTGTAAATATTACCAATCAGGTCTTTTAACATAGCTAATTTATCCTTTGATGCTTCATATTCCCGCACCATATAGAGACATATGCATAAAAGGATCTGTGAGACTATAGTTCCCTCTGTTGTCTTGAGAGCTGGGTCCAAAGCCTCATAAAATAACAGGTCATCGCAGGCAACCTAATAATGAAACAGGATTGTTAACAATATTCATCTAAGTTATTTACAGATTACCTACGCCGTGCTGGTTACTTTTCATATAAATGACACTCCGGGCCAAAATCGCGTCAACGAATGTAGTGGTTCCGCTGGGTGCGCGGCATATGATTTCGTCCAGACTCTGGGAAGTCTGAGAGAAAGGATTACAGTACGAATAACCACCGAAAATAGGATGCACATACCTTCTTCAGCACATCGCGGTTTTTCATGTTCATACATTTCCTTGAAACATTTAGGGACGTCTGAGCACTCTCGGAAAAGTTGTGAAAAACTGCATCGGTTTCCTTTCGCAAAACCTTCAAGAACAGCTCACATTCTCTGCAAACCGGATAAATGCAATTGTTAGATGGGATTTAATTGACTGGTTAGAGAGTCCTCATTCAGGAGGAGCAATATTTCACAACATTTGGAAAACGGTGTGGTCGAGAATCAAATCGTGTTGATACTTACATCAGGTTGCGCGGACACATGACCCTGGACATTGTTACATATTCAGAGGTCTCGGGGCAAGGGTCAGCCACCATATGCAGGGGAATTCTATGCATATTTGGCAATTAATCACGAAAAACCTCCAATAAATGCGTCTTTTTAAAGCTCTCGCGGTAAGAAGTGTGACCGTATTGCGAGTCCACTAAAATCCATCTCCATTTCGTTTGATGTTTTCAAATGCATTTTTCTCTAGACAAAATATACTATTTTTGATTTAGGAAATTCATTATAATTTAATACAGAATTTGACAGCTTCTTGTTAGTAAAGTTTTGTAATTGATTAAAAATCTAATTTAAGGGAACGGAACAGGCAACAAAGTGGTTAAAATAAGCTACGATTTAGCATATAACCGGCACAGGGAATATCCTAAGCTATATTTTTCAGGCTTTATTTAGTATTTTTACACAATATGCTAAAATAAAGAACCAGTTCCCCACATGTACCATCTCTAATATTTCATCCCAGCATGGGAGATACATTATAATTGACCCTAGATATTTTAAAATGGGAAAAACTTCTAAGGATAAACGTGATATATATTATCGACAGGCCAAGGAGGAGGGCTGGAGGGCCAGGAGTGCTTTCAAGTTGCTCCACGTGGACGAGGCTTACGGCATTCTAAATGGTACGAGTCAAACGGTTTCCGATTTTCAACAACCATGTAAATTTAACATCCTTGTAACCAGGAGTCCAGCGGGCCGTGGATCTTTGTGCCGCTCCCGGCAGCTGGTCGCAAGTGCTTTCCCGGAAACTGTATGATCCCTGCCAAACGGACGACGAAAAAGCCGCCGTGAAGATTATAGCCGTAGATCTGCAGGCTATGGCTCCTATACGTGGGATAATCCAGCTCCAGGGAGACATCACAAAACAGTCCACCGCAGAAGCCATCATCGGTCATTTTGGCGGAGATGAGAAGGCACAACTGGTGGTCTGCGATGGAGCACCTGATGTCACTGGCGTCCACGAGATGGACGAGTACATGCAACACCAGTTGCTAGTGGCTGCCCTCAGCATTGCCACCTGTGTGCTGGAAACTGGCGGTACTTTTGTGGCCAAGATTTTCAAGGGCAACGCCACCTGGCTGCTCAGCTCCCAGATGAAGATATTCTTTAAAAAGTTCGACATCTACAAGCCGCCGAGTTCCCGCCCTTCGAGCATTGAAGCGTTTGTGGTTTGCTCCGACTTCTGCCTGCCCGATGGTTACATTCCACAAGTGATCAACCCGGCTAGAGATGATATCCGCCTGCTGGCGCAGAAAACGGGATCAGATGTCAACCGGCGACTGGTCCCTTTCATAGCTTGCGGAGATCTGGGCGGACTAAGTGACCCTGATGAGGGTAAATCTTCCGCTTCAAAAGAAACAAAATCGGTAAGCAACATGAGCTTTATCTTTTTCAATCATTTCATTTAAGTCTCGTTTCCCAAAGGACGTGCAATATGTTTACGATGCTGTGATGAGCGACGCATCTTATCCCTTGGAATTCAAGGAAATCTTAAAGGAAGTCTATGATGAACAATTGCAAGTCAGCTAAATATCTCTGAAATAAAACTTAAGAAAGCTATTTAATTGTATGAATTGGGGGCCTTAAAGCAAATTAATGATAATATTAGGCAACATTTTAATGAAATACTTAGTTTATTTAATGATAAGGTTATTAAAACTACCTTTGTTATTACTTTATTGCGTAAGTAAGTGAGTCCCGTCATTTCAGCGACAACTTTCGTTGTTCGATTTCCAGGAGTTTCTTCTTTATTTCTATTTTCTCGGCCATCAGTTGCTCTATGGCGAGGTGGTGACGCTTGTCCTCGTACAGCTTCTGTTTGTACAGGACGAAAAACTCATTGAGAGCGAGATGAGCGCTGCTGGCTGCGTCGTGGACCATGCCAATGTTATTGCTGATCTTCTCCAGCAACGTCGCATCCTCCTCCGTGACCCGACTGCTGGCCAATGCCGCCCTCTTGCTCGACTGCAGATAAAGGGGGTCTATGTCCACTTTGCTCTCCTCCGGTTCGTAAACGTACTCGGCGGAGGTCTGAAGAGCGGCACAATCGTCTTCGGGGACCACGTCTTCCACATCGTCCACGTCGAACTCGTTGGTGGAATTATCGTGCATTTCATCGTCGGAAACCTTCATGATTATTTGACTAACATCCTCGTTTAGGCGGCACAAGGTGGCTATTGTCTCCTCCGACGAACTGAGACTGGTGCCGAAGGGTACGTTGTGCAACTCATTCTTCTCCACCTTCTTCAGGATGAACCTCTTCCAGTCCTTTAGGGCCTGAGATAACAAAATCGTATGAAAAGGGTATATGGAAAATAGCGTAAGTAAACCCACCCTTTTCCAGGTGGCCACATCCTTTCGCGGCGGCCCGTGGCGATTGAGATCGGAGGTCAGCTGTTCCCACAGTAACTCCAGATCACTCCTGGTCTCCCAGGTCGGGTTCTGCAGCAGCCGCGGATGCTTCTTGACGAACTCCAGGATAATCATCTCCTGCGTCGCGTTCCGAGGCTTTCCCTTGTTCCTGTCCATGGCAAAACTTCGTTGGCCCTGGATTTTGTACTTGTTGTTTTGCAGGACCGTCGTGGGATGCATCCTGTTCATGTGCTTACTCAAATTTGTGGTGGTCGTCTTGTACGACAGCTTCGCCTTGCAGATGTTGCAGAGCGCAAACGTGTCGTCCACGGCCCGGAAAAAGCCCCAAATCTCGCTTGTTTTTCTCTTCATGTTCGGTTTTCTGGTTTAATAAGTTCCGAAGCGATATCTTGAGGAACCAGTATTTAGAGATGCGCTAGCGTTCGTTGGTTCCGCATCGCGGAACTGGTTAAAAATATCGATTGCAAGGAAAGGGGTATTTATAAATTGCATTTCAGAATGAATTAATAAACAATAAAATAAAACAAAAAGCTATATATTTTTGTTTAAACTAAGGCGGCATTAAATTAAAATCAGGACTTTCCATTCAGTATAAATATACATATTCCAAAAATTCTAAAACAGCAATATGATAAAGTCATTATTAATATAATTTAATCTGGGAATAATAACACGATTTGGTACACTTCAAGTCCATATTTTTTATACTGAGCGAGTAGTTATATTCATACTTCCTTACGATTCGCGCCGATATTGGACTTCGATAATAATGCGTGCAGCAACAATCGATATAATCTATCGATGGTTGGCTACCCAACCACCCACGCCGCGCTGGTCACACTGGTGATGTGACAACTTGTCACTGACAAGTCATGATAATTTTTTGTAAAGCAATAGTTTTATCGCCATGGATGACTCGTTTTTCAGCTTTGACACAAATCTACCGGTAAGCAATGATCATGGCTGCGGCGGGAATGTCCGAGAAGGCAGAGCCGCAGGCGGGGCGGCATGTGCGCAACGCACACTTTAACTTTTCACTCGGCAAAGAAGGGGGAATGAAGGCCACCGGGGGCAGTAAAATGTTCGGATGTCTAATTTACTTGCATTGATTGTTTCCCCAGGACGATGACGGCGGCGATGGACGCATCGGCGAGGCAGAGTACGATGCCCTCAATGACGAAACCTTCGGATCGGCGATAAATGGCGACTGGGAGGAGGCCCACGAGACGATGGTGCGGCTGGGCGAGAATGGCGAGAGAGTGCGCAAGCGACCAGCGGATTCCAGCGGCGGCACTAATTTTGCCAGCCACGGCAACGGTGCCTTCCTGCGGCACGGGAACCCGCTCTCCTCGGCGCCCTCGTCCAGCGGTTCCACTCCGGCCCCGTTCAATGCCCCCCTCCGACAGTCGCGCCACATCGGCGACTCGGACTTGGAGCTGAACCTCTCCTCGATGAAGCTGGACGACATGGACCTGTCCACGTTCGCAGACAGCGAGGCCGGCGGTCTGAGTAACCGAATCAACTTGGATTCGGGCGTCTGGGGCTCGCAGCCGTTTCCCAACAACCAACCTTTGTTTCGTGAGCCGATGCGCAGCGCCTTCAAGCCACAGCAGCAGCAACAACAGCACCACCACCAGATGAAGCCCCCGCCGGAGACCAACGCCAACTTTCCACTGCATCACCTGCCTCCACAGGCTGGCCCAAAGATCACCACCCTCGAGGACATAGAACGCAATATGATCATCCAGCAAGCTATGCCCAAACAGCAGCAGCAGCAGCAACAACAAAATCAGCAACAGGCGGAGCGCAAGATGTTCGACGACTTCAGCCTGGGAAACAGACAGCATGTGGCCACACCAACCATGTTGCATCAGCAGCAGTTGCAGCAGCAGCAACACCAACAACAGCAAATGCAGCTGCAGCAGAAACAACAATCGCAGCAAACGCAGCACAAGGGTGAGAATATTTAAATTCAAAGTAAAGCGTTATGAATTTAGTTTTGAACAGATTTTAAAACAAATTTATTAGTATAAATGTTAAGAGGCAGTGCATCCTTTTTTTGCATTTTAAAAACAATTCTAAAACTCAATTAATCAGGTCCTGTGTTTGGAAATTTTAAACTTGACCAAGTCAAATAATCAAATGAAAAGTCATCGGTTTCCTTTAAACTGAAATTAACTGATTGAAGATAGAAAATGTATCTAATATATATATATATATAATCTAACATTAAAAACTAAACGTTTAATTGAGTTAAAGGAATTGATAGTAGAATTTGCGTTATCTCGAAGTCTTGTGTCTAATCAACGTTTTTTTAAGTGCTTTTCATTGAGTGTCTTATACAGATTAAAAGAGATTTCTGCGTCTATAAAGTCTGACACCTTTTAATCACTCATTACAGCCCCTCCTGGCTTTATGGGAACGCCGCAGACCTCTCCACCCAGGCCAAATATGGGTTTTCCCGGTCCCCATCCACTGCCCGAGCTACTGCCCACACCGCCGTCGCAGCAACAATTGAACGGCATGGGTGGCGCCCGAGTGCCGCCCGGGTTTATTTACCCGCCAGGTCTGCCGGGGAATATGCCGCCACTGCCGCAGCATCCGCTAATGCCGCAGCACATGCCGCCTAACTTTCCACTGGCCGGCGGTAACCAGCGCCCCCTACCCAATCCGCATGCCCTGCCCACGGCTCTGAACAACTTTGCCATGCATCCGAGCTTCAATGCGATGCGCGCCGCTGGCCTGCATCCGGCGGCCTTTATGCAGCCACCCCATCCGCACCAGATGCAGGCGCCGCGAATGCCGCCGCACCCGTTGCAATCGGCCAGCAGTCTACTAGGCCAGCAACCGAACTCCATGTACAACATGTTCAACATGCGGCTGGTGCAGGAGATCCAGCAGAATCATCCGCTTCTCCAGCAGGCTGCTGTGGCTCGCCAGATGCAGCAGAGCAGGGCGGGTTCGGTGGCCAGCGATCGCCAGAAGACGCAGATGCAACAGCAGCAGCAGCAGCGACGTCCGGATGGCACAGGGAATTATCCACTGGACGAATACGACGAGTATGCCAACCTGATGAGTACGCGCGATAAGCACTGGCTAATCGGAATACAGCTTTCGCAGCTGAACACGGACACGCCGTACATCGACGACTACTATTACACGGTGTTCAGGGAGCGCAAAGCCCAGCAGAACGGGCAGATGCGCAACAGCCAGGCGCACAAGGACAACCAGCTGAACCATCCGCTCACCCAGCCACGCGGCCATGCGCAGCTCATACTCGTGCAGTTGGGCAACAAGAATGGCACTCGCAATGGCCACGGACGAGAGCGTCGCAACTCGGAGAATGCCAACAGCACGGCAGGCAGCACAAACAATGGGTCAGGTGGCATCGGTGGCAACAACAACAACCTGACGGGCTATATATTCTCGCCGCTGAAGTTTGAGAACTCGTTGGGAAAACTGCAGTACGGCAGTGTGACAGCGCCGCGAAAAATCATCGATGCGGACATTATGAGTGGCGAGTCGAATCCTGGCGGAGATGCCAACGCTACTTCCTCCTCCACGAGCTCGACTCCGCTGCCTCCGTCAGCGAGCCATGATGTTAATCCCAGCAGCATGCGCAAGTCCCGACACATTCTGCTTCTGATCGAGACGCTGTACCGCTATCTGCTAAAGCTGGAGGATCTGGAGAGCCCCGAGGTCATGGCCACCATAGAGCTGAAAAAGAAAAAAGAGGCCGAGCGCATCGCGGCTCTCGAACAGCTGGAGATGGCCAATAAAACGCCCGAAGAGCGGGCCGCCGAAGCTGCCAATCCGCAGACCATGAATCCGCAGCTGAAGAACAAGTTTAACTATGAGGTCGAGACAAACGCTGCACTGGTCAATAAGTTGAAGGCGGGTCTGGCTTTTGACAAGGTGGTGTCCATGATGAATGTGCGCAAGGGAAAGGTGAGCTGAATACCATGCATATGTATATATTGTTAGGGTGAATAATGGGGAAAAAATCCGTCATTTTAGAGGGTAAATTAAAAACATATATCTAAAAAAAAGCGTTATACTCACAAAACTTAAACTAATAACTAGTACATAATAATTTGTTGACAATCTATTCTAGATTTTTTTAAACATATACTTGGGTTCTTTGGAAAACGCTTTATAAGATCAAAGCTATAACTAAAATAATATTTTCCTTGCAGATACTTCTTCGTCGCATTATGCCCTTCATTGAGAATCAAAGCATTCGCTGGATCGTGTGGAGCGGAATCTTCTGCTCCCTGCAGACTGTGGTGAAGAAGGACAAGGACGACGTTGAAGGAGTCTTGTACGCGCTCTACCCAGAGTTCAAGAAACACATAAACAAAGCCAGTTTCGACATCCTAGTGGGCATTTCAGCTGGCATTACGCTGAACGACAAGAAACTGACTGGAATATTCTGCAGTCGCGTAAGTAATCCTAATTTCCATGTAATAGGCAACCCAATTAAAATATGATTTACAGTTTGGCATCCTTTCGCTGGTTGCCCTGATACTTCGCGCCGAGGAAATTTACGTTTCCCGAACTGACGAAACTCTCAGCGAGGAGAACAGGCAAAAGTGGCGTGAGTTTCTGGCTCAGGTGGCGTCCTGCCTCAACCGCACTATTCAGAACCAGACCATCTCGGCCGCCATTGAGTCGGATGCGATTCATCCGCTTATGGACCACTTTGGACGGTTTAAAGATCTAAAACTGGATGCCCTCTTAGCATTAATAACCGAAGCTAGGCATCAAATTGACTAGGTTGCTTCGCAAGACTTTACTTTCACTTGATCGAGATAAATGTGAAATTATGTAGCCGAGTTCATTGCTTTACTCAATTACGCATATGTTTGTATAAATTATGTATCCAATACTTACATATGTACGACCGTGTTTACTTTTACGCATACTACACAAAAAATATTGCTACAGGGTATACAAATCTCACACTGAATGGAGAAAGTACTCAACTGTCAATAAATTTTGATAATAGTTTGTTAGAAACGTTCTTTTATCCAAAATTATGTGCACTGTACAAGAGAGGTAGAGAGAGAGAGAGAGAGAGAGAATAACATGTTTTATAAATAATATATCGAATGGTAGGTTTTGCTCATTGTACATACTTATTTCATTTCGTATTTGATAAGGAGTACTTTTTCGGCATTTTCTGCAGAGATTTATAAAGAATAATCCACCCTCTTATGTGTAAATTAACATTCTGGTAATTTTCTTCTTTTTTTTTTGTCATCAAATAAACAACTGGGTAACTTGTACCCGATTAGAAAGGGAATATAATAACTACGTTTACAATTTTTAAGCACCGATATTTATGCGCAATCCATTGCATACTCATTAAAACATGCAACCATAAATATCAACTTAATTTTTGGTATTTGTAA